TCCGCCCTATTTTGGACATCTGCCTTTTCTCAAAGAGATAGGGCAGTTTGGTACATGGAGAGGTAAGGGAGGTTAAAGAGATGGACAAAGAGCTATGTGTATTTTCCATTAATTACTTTGTCGTGATTTTGTTCACGTAGACCGGTACTTTGGGGAAAATAACTAAACCTGAGGATAACTAAACCTTATCTCAGAGATCTGTTTCACCATCACTTATGACACGTCCAAATGACCGCCTGGTTAATTGAAACCACCAGCCTTCTAATGCTAAAGATGAATGGCCTTGTGACTTGTGATGGACTGTTATGAAGTTATATTAACCTGTGACCAAGAAAAGGGTTAAAAAAGAAAGACTCCTCTAGCTTTGGTCTTCTTTGAGGCTACCACCTTCCTGCTGTTTGTGGACTATTGTCCTAACTTTAAGCCCCCACCAAGATGTCTAGGAAATGAGAGTGAAAATTGCAAGACTCTTAAGGGCAGGAGGAGATGGTAGGAGGTAGGACATTTGATTTCTTTTTAAGCAGTTATCCCAAGTAAAGGTTTATCTGATTTTTAAAAAGAACCCTAGGAAGAAGTCACACCTGGAGCCTGCTTCTCTTAGTGATGAACCTGTAGACCAGAAGCCAGAAGAGTTTCCCAGTGCTGCTAGTAGTTATAGTCAAAGACAAGATTTAAACCTCCTAAATATACCTTAATGCCCCTGGAAATATATAAGTATAAAGTTTTTCTGCTTATAATGTTAAAGAAATGTTTATAAATTCTAAAATAAACTTATAGAGTATTATTAACTCATTTTTTCTGGAGGAAAAACTTGCAGCAGCTTCAGCTTTTTGGAACATGGCCATGAACCTAGGCTGACAAATAGGAAGAGCAATTACTCAAGTGTAAAGAAGCAAAACAGATCTCTGAAGAGCTGGGTGGCCACCAAGACCGTGTATTCCTTCTGCTCCTCCCTAAATCACATAGCAGAATGATTGAACATGTTGTGACACAAAGATAGCCCTAAGATGTGACTGCTATGGCTAAGGAAGAAGACTGGAAAGCATCCTTGGTCAGTGAACAAAAACTTAGTGCCTGGCAGAGAGGGGATAGTGTGAGGCTCAGTCTTTGCCTTTCTCTTAGGTTGCACCATATAAAATTGCCATTTTTATAGGTAGAATCATCATTTTATTTTTATAAGTAAAATTGCCATTTTATAGGTATATCTCCATTTTTATATGTTCAGTCTACAGTTGGATAAGCAAAACAATCACATGTTAAACAGTAGCAAAAAAATACATAAAACAAGCATAAATTTCTATATTAAATTATGTGATGTAGAAATAAATTATATGAAGCACAAGAGATCCATAACAGGTGAAATAGCCAAAGAGGGCTCTCCAGGGCAAGCCAGAATAGATCTGGACCTTGAAGTCCGGGAGAACTAAGCGTTAAAAAAGGAAGTGAAACTCCAGATGGAGGAAATAACATAGGTGAAGGCACAGGAGCAAGAGTAAGCATATCCTACACAGGGAAGAGTTGCCCCACAACAGAACATACATATTAAGAAATGGAAAATGAATTTGGATAAACAGGTTGGAATCAGCTTACAGAGACACCTGTACACCAGGCAAGATGTAAGCTCCAGTTTGGTCTTGTTCACACTTGTGTCGATAACCGAGAATAGTAACTCAACGCAATTTTTGGAAATGAACAAATGGGGAGTTTTTATTAATGATAAACTAAGAACTCAACCAAAGGTTTGAGGGAAGAGATGACACACGATGGAAGTACTGTCTAAAATTGACCAGTATATGTGCTGGATGGCTCAATGGAAGGACTGTCATCTAGAAATACAACCAGAAGATTATTTCATTAATCTAGGAAGAGGGGATAGCCTAGGGTAGGATGGGGAAAAGACTTACATTAGAGACATTTAAAAGAGAATCAACATGAACCTTGAAAACATTATGCTAAGTGAAAGAAGGCAGTCGTAAAAGACCACATATTGTATGAGTCCATTTACATGAAATATCCAGAATAGGTAAATCTATAGAGACAGAAGAAATTGCTCCCCTAGGGCTTGGGGGACGGGTTAGGGAGAAAAGACTAGTGATTACTAACAGGTATGGGGATAAGGGGGAGAACTGATGAAATGTTCTAAAATTGATTGTGGTAGTAGTACACAAATACTCTTTGAATAAACTAAAACCCATTCAGTTGTAGACTTTAAATAGGTTAATTACATGGTGTGTGAATTATGTCTCAGTAAAGCTGTTATTTAAAAAGAGAAAAGGAATAAAAAGTGATGCATGACAAGATATGTGTGCTTGAGGGAGAAAATGACCACTCACTGTAGACCTATATAGTTTAGTTATCATTGAAATAACAAGACTGTACACCAGCACCATTATTATTTAATATAGTGCTACATGATACAGTAAGACATGAAACATGAACAAGAGGTATGATATTAGAAAGGAAGGGACCAGGTCACTATTATCAGAAAACCCAAAAAGATCACCTAAAAATGATGGGCATTCATGAAAATTCAGTCATATATAAGATGTACAGAAATGTCAGTATATTCTAGTACACCAACAATTGCTAATAAGAAAAAATATTATACAAAAGTTTAACCTTAAAATAACCAACATGAGTGGCTTATACAAAGGGAAAAGCCAAATTTGTATTCATAATAAATGAAGATTTAATAAAATAGAGATAGGGAGATTAAATATTACAAAGATATCAGTCCCCAAATTAATTTTTAAAAGCTTATTAAAATCCTTAGTGAGGAATAAATATAAATTGCTGGCAGTGTAAACTTGGTAAAACACTTCAAAATGTTCATACTGTCTACCCTTTATCTCAAGAAAATCTTCTAGACAAAGAAAAAGCTTTATGTATAAATTCCCCAATCTTCTCTTTTAGATCCTAGATGATAACTCTTGTGTCTTCCTTAAAGTGTTCCCTTCTTATCCTCAGTTCCTTCAAACAACCTTTACTCACCTGATTTCCAGACTGTTCTATATCCTGATATTTTCCACTAAATGACCATAGTTTGTTAGTGCCTCTATTTAAATGTGTCATTAACCTTTGTTGTTTAGAGTAAAATAAGTAAAACCAAACTCAGCTGAAGTATTGTTACCACAATTTAGAAATAACCCTATGACACAGTGTAAAGTGTTTACCAACGGTTGGGTATATGATTTGGTAGTGGTTATTTCTTAGAAAGTGAGTATCATGCGTTGGTATTGGGAGCACACTTTCCTGGGGTTTATTGGAGTTAATGGTCCTTGAGAAAAAAAAATAAAAGGAGGTCTTATTTACAGCTTTCTAAAGGTAATAGGGAAGAGAATAAATCTTAAAATGGTGGAAAGTGTACTTGTTTGACTCAAAAAATAGCCAGCATGATTTCTAGCCCCTTTAAGAAAAAAAAAATTCTTATAAAGCAGTGAACCTGATTTTTCTGTTCAATGTCTGCATCAATGCAAAAATAATACACATTTTTAAATGCCAAAAAACAATCATATACAAAATGAAAGATTTGCTTTTCCAACTTGTTCCCTTCCCTAGAGTTAACCACACTGTTATATTCATTTTTAAAATATCATGATGGGGGTGGGTATAGCTCAGTGTGGTATAGTTCAGTGGTAGAGGGTGTGCTTAGCATGCACGAGGTCCTGGGTTCAATCCCCAGTACTTCCATTAATATATATATATATATACACACACACACATACACACACATACACATATATATATATATGATTATTAAGTGGTTTATAAGCTTAGTTTTTATCTCCAGTATTATGTACAGTTTCATTTTTTTTTGCAAAATACATTACTATATTCCTTGTAATCTTTTATTTTTGTATTATCAGTTACTACTGTTCACTTTGGCCTTGTCATTTCTCTTTAAGTGTGATTTACTTCCCTCAGATGTTATTTTTATGTAAAACTATCATTTTACCTATGATTCATTTGAAAGTATCCAGCTGTTTCTAAGTTAAATTTAATCATTTTTTCTTATATCAAAATCAGCATGTATATGCATGTGCATTGATGAGAGAGAAATACAGATTTTATGTTATTAGTGTATGAACTGCGAAAGTCTTTGAAGCCCGTTCAGTATTAGTTAAGTGAGGAGGGCTCTGATGGACCATTGGTTCCAAACTCATGGATGTTTGCAGGCCAGCAGCTGAGGGGACTGTGGGAGGCAGGCAGATTCAAGACATTCGGGCCTTGTGGGGACACTGTCAGTTGGTGGGCACGTGTCTCAGCAGGAGCAAGCAGCCTCTAGTCACAGCCAGGATCATCATCAGGTTGGAATTCAGGCCTAGTTTTGCCAGATCTAATGATTTTTCAAAAGAAGCCAAAAACCTGGATTTTTATGTGAAATCCCCCAATTATTAAATTGGATGATTTTTTTTAAAACACTAAGAGGTTTTTTTTTAAAACTCTTCAGGCTAAATAGGGCCCTCAGACTGCCAAATTGCAACCTCTTTATATTATTTTACTTAACGGCGTCAAAAGAAACTTACTTTTCCACATTTGTTATATGTTCTCAGGGGAGATGGTGAAAAAAACTATTAACTCATCAGAAAACTGGTATTATTGAATGTACAACATAAAATTCTCATTAGTCCTTACCTTGTATATGTTCAATCTATTTTGGGAAATCAACCACACACATCTTATACTACACCATAACTGTCAAGTTGGTCTATGAATGGGTTGGACCCATTGGTTGGTCCTCAGTCCTCTATAACACACTACAAAAAAAAGGGGAATACAGAAGAAGTTTCAACATCTTCATTTTCCGACCTCCAGTGGTTTAAACCAGAGAGTTCTTTTGGAGCAAAAATACTATGTCTTTTCTTTTTCAGAATTGCTGAGAAATTATAATTAGAGGTTTTCCTGTTGTGTAAAGGAAAGGAATTCTAGTCCTCCTGCATCTGCAAGACTTCTTTTCTCGACAAGTTTGCTTCTTCCCTGTTCCATTTCTCTTTCTGCAGGTGATAGAGGGAAAGCTGGCTCCATTCTTGGGCAAGGTCATTAAATTTGCCACCTCACATGTGTACAGCTGCAGTCTTTGTAGCCAGAAGGGATTCATCTGTGAAATCTGTAACAATGGAGAGATCCTCTACCCTTTTGAAGACATTTCAACAAGCAGGTACAGAATCTCTTGTCTTATAAAAATATACCTGAATATGTCACATGCAGTGTTATGGGGCCAGATCAGGCCAACTTTTCTTCAGGTACTGTATCTCTGTATCAGATTTCCCTTATTCCTGGAGAACATTTTTTTACCCTTTGGTTTCCTATATTTATTTCTAACTCACCTCTCTACCTTTATCCAAAGCGAGATAAAAACTAGCTCTGTCTTATTAGGTAACAAAGAATGTTCAAATTTGTTTCTAGAATGGAGATGGGAGAGGAAGAATCCTCACACCCATTCCAGGGCCAAGTGATGGGCAATGGGAAATCATAGTCTCAGAGGAAGACCAAAACTAGGTGGACCAGTAGGAATAAAACTAGAGGACACTGGTGAACAGCTGTCAGGCTCACCACATGTTTTTCTCCACGGATGCACTACGTTATAGTGATGAAAGTTTTAGGACCCAAAGGAGAGAAAAGTAGGAGTTTATGTGGAATTATTTTTCTAACCAAAGTAATATTTGGGTATCATCGCATCCATTGATTGATGGATGATTTTTCCCCCAACTTGAGAGCAGGGTTTTTACTGTTGCTATTCTTGAGTCACAAAATGATACATATCACTTTTCCGTTCTCCCAAAAGCCTAATAGAAATATATATTGTTTGTGTGTATATGCACTGGCTTCTTTGGCATGAATGTCATGGCTCATTTCCCACCCTTGCAGGGCTCACTTACTCTGTGGTTCAGAATAGAAGGTGAGGCACGTAGCCAGGGAGGGTTGAGGCATGTGTGGTAGAGCTAAAATATTAAGAGTTGACTCAGCCCTTCTGGCCTCTTCTTAAACCCAAAGACTGTTTGTAAACAACCATGAACTTGGGTTGGCCCCACACACAGTAAGACACACATAAAACAAGACCCCCCCCACACACACACATACACACACTCCAGCCTCTAGTGTCCTGAGTACAGATCCTTAGCCCACAGCCTAAAAATTACATACTTCTTTAAAAGGTGCTTTATACAAATGTTCATAGCAGCAGTATTCATAATAACCAAAAAGTGGAAATAATATAAATGCCCATCAGCTGATGACTGGATAAACAAAATGTGATATATCTACACAATGGAATATTATTCAGCCTAAAAAGGAATGAAGTATATGCTGCAATGTGGATAAACCTTGAAAACATTATGCTAAGTAAAAGAAGCCAGACATAAAGGGTACAGTAATTAAAAGAATTTTAAAGATGTACTATAAACAACTTTGTGCCAATAAGTGAGACAACTTAGATAAAATGGATATGTTTATAGAAAGACAAATTACCAAAACTGACTCAAGAAGAAATAGAAATATGAATAGACCTATAACAAAAATTTGAAATAGTAATTTTTAAATCTTCTGAAGTAGCCAGATGGCTTCACTGGTGAATTTTGTTGGCTGTTTAAAGAAACGATACCAATGCTTTACACAGTGATAAGGAGGCACATTACATAACAGTAATGGGGTCAGTTCTCCAAAAAGACTTAACCATCCTCTCTCTGTGAACAGAGTCAAAATACACGAGGCAAACACTGATAGAACTGCATGGAGAAACAGATGAATCCACTATTATATTTAGACTTCAACACCCCTCTGTCAGTAGCTGATAGATCCAGTAGGCAGACAATCAGTGAGCATATAGTTAAACTGAAAAGCGCTATCAGCCAAATGAATCTAACTGACATCCATGTCAATTCAGAACATACATTCTTCTCAAGCTCACATGGAATTTATTTACACACCATTCTGGCCATAAAATACATCTGGACAAATTCTAAAGAATAGAAAGTATGCAAAGTATGCTCTAACATCATATTGAAATTAAACTAATAAACAATAACAGAAAGATACCTGGAAATTCTCCAAATATTTGAAGATTAACAATATACTTCTAAATAACAAGAGTTTATAACTTAGTTTACACAAAAACCTGCACGTGGGTATTTATAGCAGCTTTACGCGTAACTGCCCAAACTAGAAACAACTAAGCTGTCCTTCAATAGGTGGATGGATAAATAAACCGTGGTATATCCATACAGTGCTCCAAAAGGACACGGAGGAAACCTAAATGCATACTATTGAGTGAAAGAAGCCAATCTGAAAAGGCTACTTACTATATGATTCTAACTGTATGACATTCTGAAAAAAGGCAAAACTATACTGACAGTAAGAAAATCAGTGGTTGCCAGGGGCTTGAGAGGGGGCAGGGAGGGATGAATAGGGGAAGGGCAGGAGATTTCTAGGGCAGTGAGATTATTCTGTGTGATTCTATAATAGTGCATACATGACATTATACATTTGTCAAACTCATAGAACTGTACAAAACAGAATGAACCTTAATTTGAACTGAGGACTTCAGTTAATAATAATTAATTGTAACAAATATACCACATGAATGCAAGATGTTGATAATGGGGAAAACTGGAGAGAGTGTAATAATATGGGGACTCTATACTATCTGCTCAATTTTCCTGTAAATCTAAAACTGTCCTAAAACATAAAATCTATTAAAATAAAACAATTCATCCAACTAAACATCTAACTCAAAGATCAAAGGTGAGGAGTATAAAATTTTAATAGAACAGTTTTAGATGTATAGAAAAATTACAAAGATAGTACAGAGCTCCCATATGCCCCATACCCAGTTTCCTCTGTTCACATCTTACATTAATATGGTACATTTGATACATTATTAGCTTAAGTCCATAGTTTGTTTGTTTGTTTGTTTGTTTTCTGATTTTCTTAGTTTTTATCTAGTGTGCTCTTTCTGTTCCAAAATACCACGTTACGTTTAATTGTCACATCTCTTTAGGCTCCTTGGCTGTGACAGTTTCTCAGACTTTGTATGTATGACCTTGACAGTTTTGAAGAGTACTGGTCAGCTGTTTTGTAGACTCCCTCTTTTGGGATATACTTGATGTTTTCCTTATGATTACACTGGGTCCTGCAGATTTGGGAGGAAGACTGCAGAGGTAGTGTCATTTTCATCACATCACATGGGTACACGCTATCAGCATGACTTATCACTGTAGTGTTTGTGTCAGGTCTCTCCACTGTAAAGTTGCTCTTCTCCCCCACCCTTCTCACTCCCATCCTCTTTCCAGACTGTCCTTCTAGAAGGAAGTCATTATGTGGGGCCCATGCTTAGGCAGTGGAGAGCTTCACCCCCTTGTGAGCAGACTATGTACAAAATTATTTGGAACTCATCTGTATAAGAGATTTGTCTCTTCTTCCCCATTTTTTTCAATTATTTATGCCTATCTGTATGGACTCATGTGTATTTATTCTATACTTTGGGTCATTAGCCAATACTGTTTTATTTTGTTACTCAGACTGTTCCGGTTGTGGCCACTTAACTTTTGCAGTTGGCTCCTGTGTCCCTTTGACATATCCCAGTGATTGTGGGGTTTTTGTTTTGAGCATTTCCTTACTTTCTGCCACTGCTGGATGCTCCAGGTCCGTCTTATATATCTCCTGCCCTAATCCAAGAAGCAGCCATTTCCTTAAAGAGCCGTGGTTCCTTATATTGGAGAATATTAGAAAGCAAGATCAGGGCACTGGGCTGCACACACACATTTTTAAAGCTGTCAGTCCCAGGACTTGTCCCTTGCAGGGGCAGAGATGCTCCCCTCTGACTGCACATCAGAATCTCCTGTGAGACTTTTTGTTTAATTCCCAGATTTGGTATCTTTGAAGACTCTCCCTGCAATTCTAAATCACAGCCAGAAGAAAGAATTCCTCTAAGATAGCTGTGGTCACGATCAGAGGTGCTGGGTTCATACAACCAGAAGGACCGCATTAGCATGACTGTGGGCACATAAGGGCCTTTACATAGCAGGAAAGAATAGCTAGTTAGAGCCCTCTGTTCCTCCCTTGGTCAGATGCAATTTTCCAAGCTTGCACAAATATCTGAGTCCAAAGGAACCCTGATCTGCCTTCCTGGAATTCCAGGTGGATACTATTATGCAAGAACCATTGCGCTTTCTCTTGGTGTTCCATTTCCAGTTAAACACTGGGAGTGGCTTATACACATCGATGGAGAAGGACAAAAAGAAACCCTGGTAAAAGATTTATTAAAGGAAAACTTCAATCAGAAGTAGAATTGTAGACTTAAAACATGTCTATAAAGATGTGCTAAATAAATAAATGTGATGAGTAAAATAAATCTGAATAGTGGTATAAATTTTGCAATCTATGTGCAACTGAAATCTCTATGGATGAAGTGATGACATCTGGGATTTGCTTCACAATAACCTGATGGTGGGAGAGAGGAGATAAATACAGATGAAAGACAGTTGTTGAAGCAACGTGATAAGTTATACTATCCTCTCTACTTTTGAATATGTTTGAAATTTTCCATAATAAAACATGTTTTAAAAATCAATATGTAAAAATCCTAGAAATGAAATATTCAGTCAATTTGTTACCACCTACATATCTTTGACCATCTTGTCCAACTCAGCACCTCTTTGTCCTCAGAACTATATTTAATATCCTTTCAGATCCAAATATCATGTGAATAGCATAATTACAATTCAGTAAAAAAAAATCCACAAGCATTAGAACTATTCATTCTTTCAATAAATGATTCACTGGACATACTATGTTTGTGCACTGGGCTGGGTTCTGGAGACACAGTAAACCCTCGCATGCTCCTTGCTCACAAGTAGTTGACAATCTCTAGTAAGAGACAGACAAGCCATTAGGCAGTTGTGTTAAAGTGTGGGAGGAGCCACGGGAAAGGGGTAGACCTGGAGCTCCAAGAAGGGAAATGACGTTCGCATTGTAGGTGGAAAGATGTCCCACAATTTCTAAACATGTGAGCAAGCTCTATGTTGAACTCTAAAGCATTGATTTATGCACTTCAGTATGAGAATATCCTCAGTTTTAACAGGCTTATTTGATTACGACCGTATAACACACATTGGTAAAGTCTTCAGACTTTGTTTTCCATATTAAATTAATTGTTATGCAGGAGGAAACATCACGAGGGTGTAACGGAGAAATGTAGCCCTGGTGTTAATTTTTAGAACACCGTCTCTGGCAGACACAGAGAATGTTCTGGGATCTGGGAATGGCATTGGTCTTTGTCATTTTGCATCTCATTGCAGTTCACACCACCCTGCCCCTGAGGACCTGAACTTGTTGGTGCATGAACTTTATTCTTTGTCTTGGCACCTTCCACCCTTCTTTAAGCTTCATGTAGCTTCAAATCACTAACTGTGGTCAAAACCTTAAAAAAAGTTTGTTTAAAAAGAGAGAATGAAACTGCTTTATTATGAAGTATAGAATGACTTTTTCCCATAGAAGATGCTGAGGTGCACATTTCTCAGCACAACTTGAACAGTCCATTAAGAGCTGTGTTTTCCTTCACCCCTGTTCCCTTTGATTTGTCCATAGAATGTAAATGTGGAGAGGCCTTTGCCCAAAGTTGCCACTTATGTGCCTAGAAAATCATGAAACCCCCTAGACTTGTCAGCAGTCTTACAGAGTCTCTTCCATTTTTCTGGGTAGCCAGTCTGTCATTTTTTGAAAGGGTTTCCTGTTTGGGCAGGAATTGTTTTAGCGGGGAGTATGGGAGTAGAACAAAACTCCAGAGGAGGAGGGGAGAGAAGCACTGCCCAGAAGCTGGTCTTGGCTTCCTATTTGCTCAGCCTTCGTTTTTGTGAGTCCTTGCACAAACAGACTGAATACCTGGATTATGCTCTCATCTGGACTCGAATACACATACATTACATACCCTTTTTTCACTAATCAGCCTGACACATTCCTCTGTTGGTAAATGGTTCCAAAACAAACACTGTCAGTGCACCTAATTAGCAGGTTTGTGGGCTGTGCTTGGCAGTCCTGTTATATCCTGTTCAACAATAGAGAACAACAGCCTTGGCTGGGCCGAGCTTCAGGGAGGGAACAGCTTCCCCGAGCGCGTACGCACTTTTTAAATGATATTTCCTTTCTGTGGCTTTTCTTGGGAAGCTGCCGCTCAGTGAGTATTGCAGTGAGGTGTGGGATCCTCGCTGCAGCCAGAGGGAATCTGGACTTCCCGTCATAGGTCCCTTTGCTGCAGAACCAGCGTTTCCATCTGATTATTGTTCTCTCTCGGGTGTTGAAGAGGAGCACACTGAGGAGCTTTCTCCATGGTTCTCTAACCATGGTGGGTGGAGGACAAGACTCCTGCCTGGGTTCCAGAATCAAAACTAACAAAGATGGAAGGGCCAGTGAAGACCATTTAGACATCTCTAGGGTAGAAAACCCAAAGCCCAGAGAACACGCAGATTTTTTGAGTGTCAGAAGCAGGGTGGTGACCTACCAAGATGGAATTCGGCTCCCTTAGACTACAGGACTGCCCACTCTTAAATGTATTTATTGAGTCGGTGAAGGTTCTCCTTGATAAAAAAAACTTGAGCACAATGCTAAGTTTTTGGCTTTTAAACTTTGGTCAAAGAGTAACTTGGTAAATAGCATTTTACCTTGGCCTGGTGGCTCCTATATTCACATGTCAAAATGTTGCAGAATGTCTGCTAATACAGACAAGACTTTTGTGAAATCCTCAGAGCTGACCTGACCCTTTATGCCATTAAGCTGCTTGATAAATACTGCACGTTTATAAACACAGCCCTGGTGAGGCCGCCATTGTTTTTTGAAGCCATTTGGTCCCTTGAATAGATGGCTGTGGTCTCCCCCAGACTCATTTCTTACCAAGTTTCTAGTTAGGTGTCTGGTTAATAGTGTGCTAATCATCTTATCTCTAAGCATTTCAGACAATCTGATTTTCTTGTTGTTTGGGGGGGGATGTTTATTATTATTTAACTCTTGTTTTAATGTTCTTAACTATAAAAATTAATTGATGCTCATTACAGAAATTTTTAAGGTACATAAAAGTATAAAGAAACAATTATCCATACATATGTATACATATATATTTTTTAATAAAACTGAGATCATGTTGAATACATAACTTTATATCCAGCCTTTTTATCATATCATATCAGAACCAGGAAAATAGTCATATTTAATCTATATACTTTTAATGATGGATACTTTTACAGGAAAAAAATTTAATTGGCCCTAAAATTATTAAGATCCATTTAAGAAGTAAAGGCAGGCTAGTCAACAGAAAGATCACTGGACTAAGAATATAGAAGTCTAGATGTCATTCCTAACTCTGCCACTAAATTGCTGTGTGACCTTTAACAAGCCACTTCCCTGCCCCACCCCATCTATATATCAGGCATATAACACTGTTTAAGCACTTACTGACCAAAGAAGTAAGAGCTTGTAAGAGCGTTACTTCAGCTCCATTGCTTAGCATTTTGTGTTAGTCTGTATGATAGTCTGTCATGACATATTCAGTGAAGTTGACTGATTTTTGATACAGTTTACCCAAAGGGATTAAGATACATCATTCAAATAGTGATTCAGTCCAACATTTTCAAATAATAATAAGCTCCATGAGGAAGTTGACTTTTTCTGTTTTGCTCACTGCTTCATCCTCTACCTTTAGAACAGCACATAGTAAATGGTCAATAAATAATTTATGAATAAATAAATGGTTTACTTTATTTTAGCTTTTCTAATCTGTACTTACTGTTTTCTTTTATTTTAAATAATTTTTAAACTTATTTCAGGGAAATTGCTTAAATGTAGACATTACCAAGATATCTAACTCTATCAAGTGATAGCTAACATTCTATTATATATTAGGGGCAGATGTGTTTTATAGGCCCAATGGAGATTTTCCTGTCAAAAATTTGAGCTTTGCTAAGTTAGCCAAAAACCTTCATTTTCAGAACATGTTTTAGGTCACTTTTTAGTGTGTGCTTTTCCCTTCCCCATGGGACTGTAAATAAGTAACCTGAACACACACTAGGGAAGAGCAGGAGTATTTACCTTTCCATACAAAAAATGTTGACTTTTCAGACTGAGCAATATGTTCTGAAATGAACTGTTTTATGCTTCAGAATTACAAGAGGTACGACAGTATCTTGCTTTTGTCCGTATATGTGTATGATATTTTGAGACTTTTTTCATCCAACTAATTATGGAGTACAGATAATACCTTGTTAAAGTTGTCTTTTAAAAATCTCTTTTGTTTCTACTTCAGCATCTAATGTATATTATCATATCTTTATTGAACCCCCTCAGTATTCTGAATATTAAACCATTCAGTGCTGCATCAGGAAACACCTGCATATGCTATCTGTAGCTACCATTAATAATCATGTTTGGTTCCTGATTCTTTCAAAGTACTTAAAATAGAAATAAAAGCACAGTTCATAGATGTTTACACTCTATACAAAAGTTGCTATTTGGACGGAATTCTATCAGAGCATACAACTTGGGGACCTTAGCGATCTTTTGCCCATCACCCCCACACCCTACAACACACACCCCTTCCCCACCCCACCCTTCATGGAAGCGAGCATCCCCACCCAACACCACACCCATAGCTAGTGGGAGATTCAGGCTGTGGAACCCCTGTATAGTACCCTTTCTGCCTCACTCTGTTGTCAGAGCACTAGCCTAAAATCTGATGGACCCACAAAGCATCCTAGGAGGGTTAAAGACTACTATGTACTTTCAGCTAGCCTCACTCACTTCTAGTGATGGTTAGGAGTGGGGAATAGGTGTTCCCACCAAAATTAATGGGAAGAGTTTTCTAACCTTTTGATGAAAAAGTAGGGAAAGATAGCATTTTTTAAAAAAAAGTAATTCATGTGAAAAAGAGAAACGTGGGAATTGCCTTTTACAAAACCAATAACATAATAGACTAACTTGCAAATAATGAATCAGTGGCTGGTTTAAAGACTGCATTGGAAACATGGGAAGCCACTAACTTGACCTGATACAATTTAAAAGATCTAATTTGGCCTTGAGAGTGGGGAGGTTCAAGTATCTTAAAGCCATTCTTTAAGAGGGGAGTTAACACTTTTTTTCTAGAAAGAGAATCCTTGATGCTGGAGAGAAAGGGAATTTGAAAGACTTTGGCGGGAAAGCAGCATACATCAGTGACTGGAAAGAAAATTTTTCAGAGTTGAGAATGAAGAAACAAGCAGATTTTCCTTTGGCAGTGGGGAAGACATGGGGAGGGGGCACAGGATAGGATTAGGGTGGGGGAGAGTGAGGCCTGAGTAACATGAGGTGGGGAGCAGGGTTTTCAAGCACTGCCTGAAAGAGGCACCAGTCCAGGGATTTAGGGTCAGAAATGATGTGAATGTCAAAGCAACAAGCAAAAAAAGTGACTTTTCCCTTCCTCCGCTTCCCTGAGAGGTACGTGAGGTCTCCTGTTGTAAAGAGAGAGACCTGACCAAGGAAACTCGTACTTAGAGACCATGTAAGAGCAGTACTTAGCCCTTCTTCTCTCCGCCTAATCCACCTGAAAACCTCTTACCTCAGTTTTTCTCACCGAGGGGTCTAGAGAGCTTGCCCAGGTGGCAATGAAAGAGAAAAGGTTTAGTTATCACTTAGCAGGCACGTTGCTAACCAGAACTAAGCAAAAGGCTCCCACTGGCTTCCCCCAGTGAGTGACCGCGTTGTTCCCTTTGAGAGTGTCCTTTGCTGATATACTACCATCTAGCCTTCTCCACCCTAGTCCTTTCTTATGAATATACACAGCGTTGAAAGAAATAAAATTTTTAGTGGCTTCCAGGTGTCTTACATGGCTGTTTATTGCTTATATACATAGCATAACTATTCACATAGCTTTTTATTATTGTAATGATCAGTTCCACCCAACTTTTACTAATGAGCAAATTAGAACAAAAGTTCCAAGTAGTAGCTCTCACTAAATGAAAGGGGCTGCTAAAACGGGCACTGTTGTTCACATCTTTTTCCCTCATTCAGTGTTACTATATACCAGGTCTTAAGCCTTATTGCAGTATCTTTCCAAGGTAATAAATATGTGCTTGGTTCATACAGTAGGATAATTTTAATTACTTAAACTTTACACATTATTAAACAATTGAACCATGTTACCTGATTTTATAAACATGTAAACAGTTAAAGAATACCTTTGTCTTAGAATAGATAAACAAGATTACACTGTATAGCACAGGGAAATATACACAAAATGTTATGATAAATCACAGAGAAAAAAAATGTGACAATGAGTGTGTATATGTCCATGAATGATGAAAAATTGTGCTGAACACTAGAATTTGACACAACATTGTAAAATGATTATAAATCAATAAAAAATGTTAAAAAAAAAAAAGAATACCTTTGTCAGTATATAAAGATGAAAAAAACCTGAAATGTTCAAAAAGTCAAATGTCTAAGGTCAGAATTAGTCCTTGACCACCTGAGATGTTTACACAGGGGCACCTCTTTTTAAATAAACATAATAAATAAACCTATAATGTAAAATTTTTAATTAGTTGATTGATGATACACATTTCAAAATGTTTTCATTGAACAAAGGTGGGCAGCTAGTAAACTTCGCTAATATATTCAATGTAGAATGTTACAACTTCTCTATAGAGTTAGAAACTCTAAAGTTGTTTACTTGAAGGGAGATTGTTTTTACCAGCTATAAAAATGTATTATAAAACAGTATAGTGTTGGCATAGGAAGACAGATTAATAGAACAGGACTTCAGAAGGCATGGAAACAGACCCAAGTAATATGGGAATTTAGCACATGATAAAGGCGCCTCAGTAAATTAGTGAAACAAAAATGGATCATTTCATAAAAGGAACTAGGAACCAGATAGCCATTTGGAGAAAGAATAATGCTGGATTTTACCATACTCCTTATAGCAAGATAAATTCCAGGTGGATCAAATATTTTAATGTAAAAAGAAACCCATAAAGCACTAGAAGAAAAGATGAGTGAATCTTTATCATCTTAGTATGAGGAAGGTCTCTCTAAGCTTGTCACAAACCCAGAAGCCATGGAAGCAAAATGCTTTTAAATACATTTTTAAAATGTTAAAATGCTTAAAATTCTATAGATAAAGGCAAATGTAAACAGGAAACTTCAAGAAATATTTTCCACACATCTGACAAAGAGTTAATTTCCTGAATATACAAAAATCTGTAAAAGTTGTTAGAAAACGGGCAAAGGACACAAACTGATTTACTGAAAAATATGCAAATGACTAATAAATGCAAGAACAACTCCGTATTGTTATTAGGGAAAGCAAAACAAAATGAGGTTCTTACTTATCAGCTATGAGAAAATATTAATAGATATGAAATGTAAAGCCCTACATAGAAACATTTTCATTTGTAAAGTCTGTGTTTTTGTTCTAAGTATGTAGGACAGCTCTGTTTAATATGTTAGACACTGTCTTTGGAAATGATTGGCCTAGAACAGTGGTATTCAAACTCTTCTATTTATCAGAATTCTCTCGAGGGCTTGTTAAAACACAGATTGCCAAGCCCCACCCTGGAGTTTATGATTCAGTAAGTCTGGAGTGGAACCCAGTAATTTGCATTTCTAACAAATTCTTTGGTGATGCTGGTTTGCCTAGTCCAGGGACCACACTTTGAGAACCACTTGCCTAGAACACACTGAGAATTAGGAAATTATGTAATACCGTCTGGCAGAGAATTATATTGGTGAGAGGAGGCAAATAGGGGAGCAGGCTAAAGAAATGGCCAAGCACTTCAGGTTTTTTATTTGAAAGCTTTTCTCCTTTTAAATTTACATCTCTAACTTATTCCTATGCAACTAATCATGCTGTTTATAAAATTAAATTTTTACCTTCTGAACTTTTTTGCGTTTTTCTAATGTACCCATGCTTGACAGTTTCTTTTATTTGTGTTCCATTAAGCGTCTTAGTACTTTGAGGAACTAAAATGTAATATGTTAAATAGAAGTAAATCCTATTCAGAGGCTTAGATAGATACCATCCTTATAAATTATTGTTTCTTTTAAAGAGGCTTACTTCAAAAACTTGACGGTTAAATTTTTCATTTTTACACTAAAAAGGTAGGCTGGTGAACTAACAGAAGTCCATATATAAGCCAAGGTATTTTTTCAATCTGCATTAGCCTAATGATATCCTTACATTCACTGCCTTTTTCTTAGAGGCAGCAAGACATTTCTGAACATCTCTTGGACTCTTACGTGTCTTGAATTACTTTAGAGATTTTTGCAGAAAGCCATCGCTCTTATTTATGGTTATTTAATGGATACAATAATGAGATAGTCTAGCTTTTTCCAGAAATTGTGGAAAATTTTTAAAGCCTCCTTCAGATGCTTTACTTTCTCTAAATGCTGAACAGATTTTTCTGAAGTAATCCCAAGAAATGAGGGACACTTGTCTGCTGAGAGTGATAGTAACTGTCAGGTGAACCATTAAAACAAACAAACAGAACACTTAGAAGTGTCAGAAATTCCAGTTTTTCCCTATCCCCAAAAAACTATTTCATTCAGGTCAAAACTATTGTTATTTCATATACATAGAGTATTACTGAGAAGACTTGTGACCATCTGCAAATTAGTAGAAGCATTTATTAAGCATTTGCACTAAAGATAGTAGTGAATGACTGTCCCCAGTAGGGTAGCAAAATTAACAAATGAATTAATTAACCCTTGTTTACATTCTATTTCAAAGCCAAGATTTCAAGTAAAGCTCTTATCAAAGGTATTAGCTGAGCTTGGTTTACAAACTAAAAGTGCAAGACCTGTGAAAGCCAAATGCTTTGTGGACTACAATCGGGAGGAAAACCTTACTTAATTAACTCTGGGGATTAAAAGGTAAATAAAAAGATCATTGCAGGGCATGCCAATTGTTCTCCCCTGATCTGAGTCTTAGTAGGTATTTGGGGATACGTTGAAGGACCATGTGGCTAGTAACTGGAGAAGGAGGGCCATACTGAAGTCAGAAGACTGGAGTCAAGTCCAAAGCTGGTCATCATTTACTGGTTCTAGGACCAGATAGGCCACCAGTTATTTCATCATGTCATTTCATTATCTATTTACTGACTGACTGACTGACCAAAAAAGGGAAAACAAATAGGAGAGCTGTTGTAAGGATAATATATGCAAAGGGCCATAAAGATGTTGCCTAATTTGATATTACTGTATTTGCATTTTCCAATTCAGAACTACTGGAATGGCTGTACAAATTAGCACATACATGCCTAAATCTGCCAGACATTTGGCCAAAGGAGCTGGATCTTTTCCAGTCAAACCATATGGATACCTTTTCAGCCTCCACCTCTCTACCCCAACCCAAAAAAAGGAAAAGAAAAAACAAATCACAAAACACCCCTAAATGTGATGGGCCCAAATGCAGCTCATTCCTCACTCTGCAAGGAGCCAGGACAGTTCTGTAATCCAGTGTTCCCAGACCCTCTGCTCTCTTCCTCTCCTCCCCACCTGCTTCTCCTGGGGCAGAATAGAGGGGCGCCGGAGGAGGGTGGATTTCTGAGAATCCTGGCACAAGGTTTGACTGGAGGCGGTGCTCCAGGCAGCGGCTATGAAACTTGACCCTCCCCACCCATGGCACCAACCATAATCGGTCTCTAACTGAAATTGTGTGTTAATATTTCTTTATTTTAACCCTTCTATTTCCCACAAGAGAATGAATCTGTTAGATTGTATCATTTGTTTAAATCATATTTAACCATCGTCTCACCATTGCATATTTAGTAACATGTTTTGGGTATTCTTCTAAACAGCACACATATACGTATGTAAGTACTTACCTAGCACATGCACGCACGCACACATACGCCATATGTGACATTGGCTGATTTCCTCTTTAAGCAATTTATGTTTGCTTACATTGATTTACTTACACAATAACAGAAGAAAACACCAACCAACCCAAAATATTAAAATAACCAGGCCCCAGTAAAAAACCTCCCTTAGCTAAGAGATTTAAATAATCATCTTGGTTTCTTGGAAAAACCAGTAATAGCTAGTGGCCCTAAGGGCGTCTCACATAGTAGCCACACACCAGACCGCGCTCGCATGCCTGATAACATGCACTTATTTCTGCACCCCACCCTCTCCATTGTGGGCTCTGCAGAGTGGAAATCAGCCAGAGCTCTGCCCTGCTCTGTGGGTCTGTCCTTTCATTTGTCAGAGATCCAACCAAACTCAAGCCTGAATTTCAATCCTAGTGAAATATCTGAGGTCATTGCCTGAGCCAAAAATAAAAATGCAGCAGGGAAGGAACCCAACATGAACAGAGCAGAAGCGTCTCAGTGACCTCAACCTGGGGCAGAGGCCTTTAGCAGTTTCCTGTGACCTCCCTGTGTGCAGCTAGAATCTGGAAGGGCACAGACAAAGCCATCATCCAGCCTGTCTCTAACTGGTCTCACATCATCAGCATTCCAGAACAGGAAACCATCGGCCGCCAGGAATTCTTGCTTCCTTGCCACAGTACCTGAGAAACAAACCTTTTTCCCTGCATATATTTAGTTCTGTTAGTTTGTCACAGGTTAGTTTCCTTGGGTTTGATAGCTATCATAAGAACATCCTGTCTATCCCATCTCTTGGCAATTGACTGATTTCTAAGTTCTGAACCACTCTCTCATTTACCGTAGGTCACTAAGCTAATTTTTAGGTCAAAGACTGTTTATAAAATGTAGTCTCTTGTGATGGTGCCTTTACTAAAACATAGAACGAGATTCGTATGGCCCCTAAATGGTAGAGCTATTCCTCTGCCCCATCCAAAGAAGGGGACCAGTTTGCCGGGCACATAGACCTTTAATGGCATTGCCACTTAGAGCTTCCAAAGAAGCAGACCTCGAGTTACTCCTCCCTCCTTACCTGTCCTCTGGTGTATCCAGTGCTGATAGGCACCTGGTCCACCCTAGTGTGGCTGTCCCAGTGGTTAAAACATAAAAATCCTTCTATATAGGGTGGTAAATGACTCCTGCCTCTAGCCAACCCCCACTGCCCCAAATAAAAACCCCTCAGCATTTAACAATTCTTGGAGAGAGGGAATGCTGATGAAAGGTGGAAGAAGGCTTAGAGAAAAATCCTTCACGTTCAGCTGAAATTTTTTTAGAAAGGGCAGAGTCAGCTCCTTTTGGCCAAATTCCTGATGATCGGAGTTATATGTACTAACACATAAAAGCTGTTTCATAGTTTGATCAATGCAAATAAATAAAATGTAAAGTAATGCTCTTCACTTTAAAGCTCATCTCATTCAATCCCAGCTTGTCTGAGGAGACGCCAGTCAGCATTCCCACTCATTCATCCACAGACCTGGGGGCAAGAAGGTTTGGAAAGAGGAGGGTAAAACCCAGAGTAGCTTTTTCCCCCCTACACAAAACCTGCAGGTTGGAAGGAACCTTAGACACCACCTAGTCCAACGAGGTTCAGGGATAAGTAACCTACCCAAGATCCCAGTGATGCTAGGGTCACTGGGCCAAGAACTCGGGGTTCCTCGCTCTAGTTGAGCCCTCCTCTCTGCAGTAAGTGGCCTCATTGATATACCACTGGTCTCCTTTTCATTGTAGAAGTTGCTAAAACGTAACTGCTTCACAGCTATACAAAAGCAATTTGTTTAATGGAACAAATGCAGAAGTTTATAGTTTTAGTTCACTGGATGGCCTAGATGAGGCATGAAGAAGCAAAGACCACCACAAAGAAATACTCCAGAAGTTCTTGGCCAAAGAGCAAATAAATGTGACCGAAGGCCAACCACCAAGATGATCTTTGGGGAGGATGGAAAAATCAGAGCAAGCTGATAGAAAGCTAAGGGCTACTAATCAATGCATAGAATTGTGTCATGGGTATTAACTCCTTAGATCATGTTCTAAATTAACTTTGTATATTGTATTTTTTATTGAAGTATAGTCAGTTCACAATGTTATGTCAGTTTCTAGTGTACAGCATAATGCTTCAGTCATACATGAACATATATATATATTCATTTTCATATTCTTTTTCACCATAAGCTACTATAAGATATTGAATATAGTTCCCTGTGCTGTACAGTATAAACTTGTTGTTTCTAAATTAATTTTAGAAACCATGGGATGGTTAATGCTAGTGCGTTTCACCTATTTTAATCAAATGATGTATTAAAAATACGTATTTGTGAAAATGCTATGAATAAATACACTATGCTGGACCTTACTGGTTGGTATGAGCAGAAGCCAGCAGGTGACACTTGCAAATTCCACCTGGGGAGGGAACTGTTAAGTACTCCCTGGGTACCCCCTCTATGATGCTTTGTGCAGATGGGTTAGGTCAATGGTTCTCAACTGGGCTGATCTTACTGCTCCACCAGGGACTTCTGGACATTCGGCAGTGGCAGGAGGCACTGACGCAGGAGGGGCGGCGGGTTGCTACTAGCATCTGGTATGTGGAAGGCAGGGATGCTGCTGAACATCCTGCAGTGCACAGGACAGCCCCCACAACAAAGAACTGTCCGTCCCAAACTGTCAGTAGAGTTGAGATCTCTGGATTAAGTGAAGCAATGAATGTTTTCAAGAAAAAAAATGGGAAAACCCATTGGATGGCTTTGGTCAATAGCAAGTCCATGTCCCTGCAGGCGCATCCTCTATGACATGACACTGGGAAGGGAGGACATTCCATCTTTGTTCTCTGTGGTGCAACAACCAAAATGCAGTGGAACTGCTGATTGCTGGGACTGGGTGACTCAGAAATGAAGGTGCTGGCTTTCATTTGATTGCTCACGCAGAACACCAAAGGGACATTGCTCTTTCATCATCTGTGGCAATTTTCTGCGCAAATGATTACACTGGTAGATTTGCCTTATATAAAAGACATGTATCTAAAAAGTTATGTTTGTTAAATCATATTTTAAATACAGTCAGGAATTCAGAAAACACGAAGGAGCCAGTGAATCTTTTTAAAGTGAAAGGTCCTTTTGAATAGAGCCCTATTCTCTAAGAGGAGCATACCTATATATTGCATTTTTAATGTAAATATTTTCCCTGCACATCTCATTTTTATTACAGAGCACCATAACTCTCACGTGAGAAACAGTTTCTCTTCCTCCTTCCCTTTCCTGCCCTTGTTCTTTTCCTTTAAAGAGAAACTCAGGGGGGAAATTAACAATACAGTCTGAATTTGAGAAAGTCATTGATCAATTTGTCCATTATGCCACTCAAAAGATGCCTGCTGGGTTACAAATTGTTAGAAAAAAATAGGACTTGGTTCTACTTTGAAATCATTAATTTTTTATCTCAGACTTTTTTCAGTTACTGACCTTTGGCTGGAAAGAGCAGGTGTACTCGGTCCCTCCATCACCCCATGGGTGTTTGTTGCACCAGAAATATCTGATAAGGCTCAACCTCTTCACTCACAGCAGGGTGGGAGGGGGGTAGCAGCAGAGATAAGGGAGTGGTGCTGAAGGAACCCAGCGGTTCTCTCCTCATCAATCAGTGCCCGAGGGCAACCTCCCTAGGTGTATAAGTCACTGACTAACTCAGCAGGGCAAAGGGGGCAGGAAGGAGGAAATTTATTTGATAACGTTATCAGCAGTGTCACTTCAGCGGTAGAAGGTTACAGAGGTATGACCCACTAGGGACGAAGCCACTACTACTGGGGAGGAGCCACTCAGACAAGACAGGCACTAGGACACCTGGGTCTGACCTTTCTCCCCTGGAAAGGAGGGAGGGGCTGAGGGAAGGGAGACACTAGAAATGACTCCACCATGTCAACTGCCTGGGCGGCACAGCTCCAGTGTCAAGAAGGCAGGTATCAGCATCATCATGAGAGGTGGTGTCACGGTGCTGTTTGAATGGTCCTTTTACGTAGACATCCACCCGGTTTAGTCTCAGAATTCGGTTTAGTCTCAGAACCCGGTTTAGTCTCAGTGAGTAGAAAGGAGGTCATTGTGAACAGCATTTTCCAAACGAGGAAACCAGAGCACCTAGAACGTGAATAATGTGCCCAAGGTCACTCAAAAGAGGATTTGAGATTTGAACACAAATATTCTGACTGGAAGCCCTGTGTTTCCCTCCGCGATGGCACACTGCTCTCACTCAGATGACCAGGCCTCAGTACGAGCTTTGGCTGGGCTGCCAGGAACCCTGGGTTCTAGTCACAACTCAGTCTTTAACTCATGGTGTCCTTGAGAGACAGTCACTAGCCCTCTTAGAATCTCTGAGACGAGGGGATTGACCAAGGTGTCCTCAGGTCACCATGGTGACATAGGTGAAACCAGGCCAAAATGAAGGCCTGCAAGAAGGCAGCAGGCAGCTGCTCGCGCTGGGAGGAGCCGTCTTAGCTGTATTGTTCAGCACTTAACATGTTCTGGGAACTGTGCTAAACGCCTTACCCATCATCCCATTTAAGCCTCCCAACACCAGACAAGTACCTGTCAATGGAAACTCAACTTAGCAGATAAGAAGAGAAGCTCAGGGAAGTGAGGTAACTTACTCAAGGTCCCTGTCTTAATCAGCTCAGGCTGTTACACAGAACACCATACACTGGGTGGCTTCCACATCAGATACTTACTTCTCACAGTTCTGGAGGCCAGAAGCCCCAGATCAAGGTCCAGCAGGGCTTGGTTTCTGGTGAGAGCTCTCTTCCTGGCTTGCAGACAGCCACCTTCCTGCCCCAGTCCTCATACAGCCTTTCCTCATACAGGGGGAGAGAGACCTTTCTGTTGTCTCTTCTTGTAAGGAACTAATCCTATCAGAGCTGGCCTCACCCTTATGATTTCATTTAACCTTAATTACTTCCCTAGGACCGCATCTCCAGATACAAAAGGGGAGCACACAGTTCAGTCCATACCGGTCATACAGGCAGAAAGTGATTTGAAGGTGGGGTTTGAAGTCAGGCCATCTCACTCTGCCTGCTCTTCTGACCACTGTTGTGTGATATTTGGTCCAGAGAGCTGAGCTGCGGGGAGAGACAGCTGGGTGCAGTGACGCTTCTGTCTTCTGGCCTCTCAGCTGGTAGATACAGCCCTTCCCCCCTACACTAGTGTCTCTCCCTCTAAGTCCCTGCCTTCTCTCCTGGGTGCGAGGGTGGGTGAGAAGATCCTCCTGTGACCGAACTTTCTGAGTCCTGAACGGTGCCAGTGGAGAGTCAGCAGCAGGCCAGGGAATGGTGCCCCAAAGACCACCCTACACCCAGCACTGAAACTCAAGGCACTCGAAGAAAAGCATAAGAGGCCCCTGGGGACTGGCTCCTTCGTAGCCGTCTTTGAACCCGGTCCAGTGCTGGATCCTCCCTGGATGTTGCTGGTCGAACAAAATCATGTGGGCCCAATTCCCTGGGCTCCCGGGATGAGGTCATAGTTGGTTGTCACTCATGTGTGGAAGGATGCAAACTTAATCCACGCTGGCCAGCCACCCACTGGAGCAGCTCTACTGTGCTTGTCAGTTACTCATCATTAAAGACTGTGCAGTAAAAACAAGCCGTTTAGACTCCTGTAAAGGCTTCCACCAAGCCAAACAACAAACTAGTCATCCACCTGGAATGCCTCCTCTCTATAAATCACAATATCTATGTGTTGTTTAAAAAAAAAGTTCCCTGCCCCACTCTCCCATGCTTCACGGTTCCCGCTTGTGTTATAAAGGTAGATTTAGAAAGGTTGGGAGAGGTTCCTATTTTTTTTTTAAACTCAGGAGAACAATAGACCAGAGGATATCATTCAGAAAATGAAAATGTATCATTGTACCTTCCCTAAGTGTCAAAAAGGCAAGGAGTCCCGGGGAGCCACTGTGCTCTTGTCACTGGAAGTGGAAAGCCGCGTTTTCACAGCTGTGATGCGGGGCTGTCACTGTGCTGGGAGTGTCTTCCGCGGGCAAGGCACTTCAGTCTTATTTTCTGTCATTTCACCCTACAGTCACTGCCCTCTCTTCTTTCTTGTTGGAGGGGAAATGAACACACAGGGCTTCCAGAGTTCTGTCTATGGTCACCATGATCACAAAATTGCTAGTTGACTGCCGACTCCCCTTCTCCCAGAAGCCATAAGCCTCTTCCCAGCTAGTTCTAATCAGGAAAAAAAAAAAATGTTTTTCAAGTGAAATTCAACCTTGAGCCTTTTGGAAAAGGGAAGAGCCCATTTCTATGAGTCATGTCTCTTCCCAGGGGCAGGGCTGTCCCTAATAAAATGTGGCCCAGGCTGCACAGAGGCCACTGGGCTTCCAGAATCCTGCCTTGCTCATTTCGACCTTATTTGTCATATCTGTGGTTGGCTTTTGCAGGTGTGAAAGCTGTGGAGCCGTTTTCCACTCTGAATGCAAAGAAAAGTCTGTCCCCTGCCCGAGGTGCGTACGCCGAGAGCTGCAGAAGAAGCAGAAGTCTTTCTGGCGGAGGCTGAACATGGACGAGAGCCTGGAGGAGGCGTGCAGCATGTTTGAGCTGTCCTACCAGAACACCTGACTCCGCAGGAGCCCGGGGCAGGGGAGTGACCTCTCAACCACCCATCAGCCATGGCGGCTTCCTAACTAGCCAGTTAGACTCCTCCAGGAGAAGAGTCCGTCTCTTCTTCAGCTAGATATAGATATATATTTATATATACACACACCCACTCATACCTATACATCCTGTACGTATGTTCTGTATCAGTCGTTGTCTAAAAGGTCCATAGAGCTTTGTGGCTCAAAAAATTACCAATAGCCGTGGATTTCAGCTGCTTGCTCCCAAGCAAAACGTGGTTTACACACAAGGCTTTATAGTTCAGGGTTTTTTGTTTTGTTTTGTTTGTTTGTTTGTTTGTTTTGGCTCTCAGGGGCCATTGATTACATAGGACACAGGAAAAAGCATTTCCTACAGAACAGCGCTTCGTGTTATTTTTGTGTTATTTATTTTTAGCCTTCACAGAGGATGAAGTCACTGAGGCGAGCACCCATCATCATCTATTTCATATGAAAATCTTCAAAACACAGCAGTGACTCCTGGGTCCTTCCAGCAGGACCCCGTGTTCCTGGCTTTCACCTTGGTGTCTTGGCAGAGGCAGGGATCACCTAAGCTGAGTTGAATGGCTTGGAAATCAGGAGTGTGAGCTCCCTCTGACAGAAAGCAAGCATCCCTAATTTATCAGAGGAGCTAGTTCTGGTTTTGAAGTTAAATCTCAGAAGGGATTTTTCTTGAGAAGAGACCTCAGTGACCAATAACTGTGTTGTCAGTCTGTTTGCTGGTACGAATCCCAACGCCCACCCAATGTGAGGCTCCATTGTATTTGCCGGGTTGGAGACGGGGCTCTCTTAAGAGCAGGCTTCCAAGAGTTTCATGGATGACAGTTATGACTTTTTAATGGTACTGGCCTGAGGAAATTGCCTAGGATTGTTGTTAAATACATCGGTTTGTAGACCAGGGAAGGATGTGGAGTGCGTCCATTCCGAGACACAGTCTGCAGTTTCCTTACATAGAATCCTGTGCAGGCAGTTCCTACCTATTCATTTTAAATGCTTCATTTTTCACTGTACTTCATGGCACTTTCATTTTGACCTTTAATTTGTCGGTGTAACCATGTCTGCTTTCAATTTTTTTTTAATTGTTTAAAAAAAAATCAGAGTAACTTGGAACTTCAAAACACCAACTTTAGACTATTAAGAAAATAGCAAACTTGTGAGTATAATTAATGAATTAAATCTTATATTATTTAAATGAATATATATACACATATGTAACTGTCACCGTAAAGTGAAATGAGAAGTTTTAAAATATCACAGCATAAGAAATACAAGTTGCTTATGCATTTGGCAGGGTGGCGCGCTCCCTCTGCGGTGCCCCTTTTAAGAGCTAGCGTAGCAGTCACCGTGCCTGATGTGGCAGGAAGGATGGCACTGGAAGTCATGGCTCCCAGTCCAACCTTACAGAACAGAAAAATTAGCTTATACTGAAACAACTCCCAGGAGACAGTATGAGAAGATTCTGTTCGTTTCCTTTGAGCATATGCCTTCAATGCCTTCACGGCTTAGTAGTTTCACTGCTAGTAGGACCCGAGAGTCAGCGGCTCAGAGTCCAGGGTACGTTTAACCCCGTCGCTCCTCTCCCGCATGCCTGGCTCCCTTCGGAGCCCAATTCGCGATGCTTCTGGCAGTTTAGAGACGTGACAATTCAGACTCACTTTTGTGCAGACGGTTAGGTGTGAGCCTTTCACCTCTCAAGCCGTGCCAGTCCCTCTGGCCCCAGACCACACATTTCAACTGAATAGCTCAGCACCACACACGTGTTTATTTTCTGATTACACAGTAGCTGTAACCAAGGCATGAAAACTCATTAAAAAGGGCTGGGGCCCCATTCATGAGACGCTTTACGGTGCCTTTTACTCTTAGAAAAGTAAGTTGACTCCCCACCTCCCCCTCTACTTTATAGAGACTGTTGCACACAAAAGGAAAAGGGTGGAAAATCTCAAACAAGCACTTGGCAAACAGGCAAACGAATTTGATCATCTCCCCTTTCCTCCTCCCCTTCATGAAATACAGTATTTATATTTTCCAGCCTCAGAGAAGATAGCAGAACATGATCTTTCACAAGAGAATTATAGACCTGCTTATTATAAAACAGATGTGCTCCAATGGCAAAGTGCCTTTTCCCTCCGCCCCTAGCTCCCTGTCACTGTAGCTTGCTTCTGCCTTCGCCGTAATTAACGTATCTGTGATCCCGACTTGGAGACCTCAAATGCAGGGCCGTCTCCCCACCTTCTAGCATGTTCGCCGTGTATACAGAATTTCCTGTCCCATCTCACAGGCCCCCAGGGTCAGACTGGCTGAGAAGCGGGGTGAACTTCTGCATCTCTGGTCTCTATGCTTTCACCAGGTCCATGCAGAGACCCAGCTGAATATTGGCAGTCCTGTCCAGTGAACTGGTAAGGAGAACTTTCCACCCACATCATTTTCTGCTTATTTTCAAAAGGGAAAAAATAAATATGCTATCACCATCAGCCACCCAGAACTGGACGCGTAACCCAGCTGCTTCTGTTTTCTCTCCGTTCTGTAGATCCCTGACAGCTGGGTCGGTGCTGGCCGCAGGCCTCCATGACCCGCTCAGCCACCACACCAAAATCTGATAGGACAGAGCAGAGCCGGCTTGGAGCTGGGTCTGCCATGAAAATTCAAAATTGCTGCTTGCAGCCCAAACGCCTTAGCGCATATAAACGCCCTGTTTTGAACCCTCCCAAATCACTCGATACACTGTAAGTAATTGTTCCACTGCTTAGAAACTGTTGAAACAAAAGCAAATCTGTGGATTACCACCTCCTTAAGACCAAACCCATACCTGCTTTCCCTCGTGGTCTTTTTTTGATCCCATGTTAAATATCTTGCACATAAAGCACAGGAGAAAATGGCCAGGGAATCCCCTAGAGCTGGCAGCCGCTCAGGGGAACCTCTTTTCTCTCGAAAGGCCCACTCCCTGGTGCATCCCTGGAGGAAATCTCCGTGCAGTGCCAGATACCCATGTGTGAGACAGTCCAACCCTGGTGAAATGTTGGCATCTCATCCTGCAGAAAAGAAGCCAGTTCTGAAAGTAGACCTGAGTTTGCACCGCGGCAGGAAGGCCGCAACGCACTTAAAAAGCAGTCAACTGGGATGTGTTCTTTCCAGGGCGGCTCTTTCCCGAGTTTGAAAGCCCTTTGTATGAAAACCTTGTAAACCCTCGTCTTCCGCCTTTGCTACACTGCCTTTTCGGGGGACTCTGTTACAGTCGTCTTCATCTCTGTAGTGCTAAAGGGTAATCTCTTTAGGAGCTTTAATATCTGATTAGCTGAGAAGGTAATCGCTTTTTGGTTCTTCTAGACTAGGCCTCCCCCTGAAAAGGGTCTATCTCTAGAATTTGGGATTTGTGATTTCCAACCAGCTCAGTGGCGGCCTTCAGACTCCCGCCTAGGGACCATGCCGCAATTCCCTTCCAGGCTGTTGACATCACTCTAGCTGCTGTAGGCAGCCTTCGCTAAGCTGGAGTGAGTCCCCTTGCATGGGGTCTGGCCTCTGTTTTTGTCTCTGCATCTGTACACACTGAACGTTGACACTGGATGGTTTCTTCCCATGCCTTCTCGAAAAGGCTTGGCTTCCAAACCTGTGGATTTGTTCTCTACCCATTGGCCAGAAAAGGCCACATGTAAATTACTGTATCAGAGTAGGACTTTCATGATGCCACACTGAACACTTTCTGCAAAAAGAGGAATTATCTGAGGAAGCTGAGATACACTCTGCTCCTCATTTAGGGGTTAAGGCAATGCTGCTATTCCCGTGTTTGGGCAGAATTACTCACCTCCACTGATCAGCCGCACTTTATTGAAATAACTGGACAATGAAGTCAGTCTTCAACTCCTGATTCTAATACTGTCTGGAGTCAACACAAAGGCGATTTTACTTTATTTTTTTACTTCTCCCAGCAAAGAGAGATGCATGCAGTTTTCCCTCTTTATTTCTTGAGTTTTCTGTCTCACTACTTTTCTTCTTCCAAGATAATGTGAAAACGTAAAGAAGTGGGGGTGAAACTGACAGAAGCGAACATGCCCTTGTTGGCATGAATGGAGTCGTTGGAAACGCTCTGTTTTCCTTTCCCTGGTCCTTGTTACCAATCGGGCATTAACAACACAGGGGTGTGTGTGTGTCTGTGTGTCTGTGTGTGTGTGTTTACGCTGCACCTCTCCTGACCCTGAGTCTCGTAAAAACTAACTGCTCTACTTAACTACTTGAACCGAGTGATAGGTGAATAGGCCTGCTCAGTTCATCTAAGCAGACAAACGTAATTTCTATTATGTGGGACAGTGTTTCAACAATTAAATCCCAGCAGCCCAGGTCATCGTTAAACTCTAGGTAAAAGTCAAAAGACAAGTGTGGAGCACCTTCCAAGACACCCACAGTTGCCAGGGGGCTTACTTTAAATGGGTTCCAAATGATTATGTGATGGAACACTTTCCTCCTACGGTGGCCTCCAGTGTGATGGAAGGCCCTGTTAACCTCAAGTGAAGAGACAGCTGCTGTTTCGCTTTGGTTCCCCCCTATGGAAGGAGAAGCCATCTTGTTAGAAAGGTCTGGAGTGAAGCTAGTTGTTACCCAGGTAGAAGATTCTGGCGCCTGTAGCACCTCCTAGCACAGTGACGATTCCCTCCTAGGCCTTAGAGCTGCAGACCAGCCTCTCTCCCCTTCCCTTGATCTTCCTTGCCCCGGTCCTAAGCCCTAAACTCTGATTCAGGCCTCATAAACTGGCTGGTGGACCACTAGGGCCTGTGGCTCCTTCTCTTGTTGGCCGTCGCATTGTTTCTTTTCCCCGTAGGAGTGCCTTACAGTACTGCCTAGTGCTTCTAGTCTAGACTCTGTGACCCACTCGAAGCCCACAGGACCCTTCACCTCATTGTGGATCATTTGGCTTCTTCCCTGTTGGCTGCTGCTCTTTACACAGGCCCGCTTGGAGCCTGCATATTCCATACACGTCAGACCTTTCACCTTCATTTAACCTGGTGCCTTAACCCCGTGAGTGCAAGGATTTCTGTTGGAAACACATCATCAAAGTAGAACGTGGAAACACTGGCTTCTTGGCGCTTTTTACCAGGAGATACAAAAGAGACACCCACGTAATGTTTTAACTCTGTTTTATGCTGTTTTTCTAATCACTTTTTTTTTTTTTTTGCTTCCTTGCTTGCTTTTCATTAACCAAACTCAGGGGAATATCACGATGTCACCAAGGCCAATGGGTAGAGAAATTAAACCGCTTATTCAGATTTGAATCTGAAAAGTCAGTGAACTTAGCCTTTTTCAGGTTAAAACATTACACAAACACAAGGGTTTTCTTTTCCTTTACTGTATAAAGATTTTCTTTTATGTTGCCACCTGTTTTCCAAATGGGAAGCGGAGAGCCTCTTGGATGAACTGTGGTGAGAACATCCCTGCGTGGCGCGGGCAGACCGCCGAGCTATTACAGCGGGCTTTCAGCGCTGGAGGCCTCGCTTCTGGTTCTGGTCACCTACCAGGACCTTATTGTGAACAGCTAGTGGGCTACCTTAGAAGATTTAAGGGGGAAAAAAATCTGTATTTAAGGAATCTGTAAAAGGAGGTAAAATGTGTAGATTGCAAATGAAGAGTACTGAACACGGGCTGTGGAAGACCTGTGCACAACGTGCTCTCACACTCCTGGGTCAGATCAGTGTCATTTTCTCTTATTTCTGCTCATGCCGTACAGAACTGCCTAAAATTTGGGGTTGGGGCTTTTACTATGTCACTCTGTGTTGAGCTGTTTGTAATGGCTGTTATATGCTAAGTTATGTATGTGCTGTTTCTGTTTTCAGGGTTGTATTGCCTTTTGTTTTGGCATAACTGATCCATATTTTTGTTTACATCATTTTTAAAATATCAACCGTAATAATAGAAAATGAAGTTGTATTGTAGAAAGGACCCCTAGTTTTTGTGGTCATCTGTCATATAATTTAAGTGCACCAGTTCCTAGTGTATAAAGTTCTCTCTCTCTCTCTCTCAATAAACAATGCAGAAAGTACTTTCTCATCTCCTAACAACTTCATTAGAATGCTGTTTCTATGGGGGGAAATGAAAGTCCAAGAAGAGCCCTGGATGTTCATTCAAAGTCAAGATTTGAGCTGTATTGAAAGGGAGCTACTGGGACTTTAAAATAGCTCTTAATATTAATCTTACAGATGGACTTTGGTTTTTTTCTAAACCCATAAACCTCAATATTCTCATCAGCCCTTCTCATGCTTATGAAAAATATAGTGTAACTTTTCAAAAGAAGCAGATATAGTGTTACAGGCTTTTTTTCTCAGATCAGGCGGAGATTTCTTTCAGGTCTGAGACAAATCCGCCAAGCCCACACAAGGTCTGTCCTGCCACAGCCTTCCCCCAGCCCTCCTGCCCCGGTTCCGTCTCGCCACTGCACTCTCCAAGTTAGAGGGACAAGTGCCAGGCAGTAGGCAGCAGGCAAGGACACTAGTCATTCCTGAAGACCATGTTTTGGGAGCAAAGAGTGGAAAGGAAAGAGGAGTGACCTCTGTGAGGACAGCAGCCCTCTGGGGGTGGAGAGGTGGTTGGGAATATCTGCACGACCTTCCCTGGGCTGGCCCTCACCCTGCCACCAAAATAGTCACAGGCACAACCGTCCACTTGGGACTTTTCAGAAGCACCATTTGAACTCACTTTCTCAAAGCCATGGAGGAGACCAGCAAAGGTGCTTCTGGTTAAACATTTACCAGAGGTGGACTCTGAACCTCACTCTCTAAGACACACCTAAACAAGTTCATGCCCAGCCGCCCCTCCCCCACCCTCAGGAAACCAACTGGGGCTCACGCCCATTCTGCCCAAGGAACAACTGGACCTCGTCTTCACTAGAAACCTGCCACAATCCACAATAAATAGAAACGAGTTAATGTTTCACTGAACCAAATGACACGATGCAGGCAGAGCCCTGCTTCGTCTGATTCACAGGACAGGTTAGCTTTCCCCCAGCGATGGTAAGCTAGAGTGGCTGGATGACTGCAGTAAGTTTCCACGTTACCAAAGAGAGATGTTTCCAGAGGGTGGAAAGAGACACCATTTTGTGTTCCTCTCTCCCCATCCTCAGGAGGGACGGTGATTTGAATCTCCCTTAACTGTCGCTTCCCCATCCTGTCCTTTGATGATGGCTCAAGATGATGGCTTTAATCAGTGGTCCCCACATTAGAAACACAAAAACACAAGCAAAATGACAGGACCCCATCACATCCAATTGAATAAGAATCTCTCTGGATGGCACCTGCATATTTGTGTCTTTTAAAAGCTCCCTGGGTGATTTCTATGTGTTCTGAAAATTAAGAATCACTAGATTAAATGAAGCAAGTTGCCCCAACATAGACATTTGCTTGGCATACTGGTGGTCCACAGTGGGAAGAATGTCAAAGGGACAGAGAGGGGCTGACAGCCTTAGCTGCCCTCCAGCTAACAGCTGTTGCCTCCCATCCACCCAGCAGACACAGAACAGTACTTTGGAATTTGCTGCTCATAGATTGCCATTGTTTTCAAAAACCTTACCTTTATACCCTCTTTATTTCCTTCCGGGGTGTGGTTAGAGTCTGTTTATCCAGTATATACCGATGCCAGACAGCCTACTGAATAGAAGTGGCCAAGTCATGGCTACAGGTGACTAAGCTGGCCTACAAAGGGAGCCTTGTACCCTCCTTTTCTTTTTTTCATTCCTCCTGGTAATGCTGCAATTGTCCTCAAATGCATGTGACAGTCTGCTCCCAGTTCAGGCCCACCCAACGAACACGAACCTCATCAGACTGGAGAATGGTGTTTAAAATGGGAAATCATTAGATGCTTGTGGCCCAGAAAGGCCTGGGAAATTCAGGAAATCTTGAGCTGTGTCCATATTTTCCTTGGTTCAGTGAAAGAACAAGAGTTTAAAATGAACCAGAATCATTCTGAATCCAGGCATCTATTGAAGGGACAATTTTCAACCTCAACTGCCCAGTTACAGGTGAATGGAAACTTAGATAATCCTTACCCTCTCCTCTCTGTATGAGGTCAGTGACTTTGAAGATGACAAGTATTCTTCATTAATAGAGCACTTTTCCAAAGATTCGGAGTCCACAAAAGATGTGATCTTCTCATCTTATAATTCTCAGGAAGCCCAAGGAAAAACATACCCAGCAAAAAGGTTCATTCATTCTCCCTATCCTCTAACCTTCATAGCCTGGGCAGAAAGGTCCAGCAGAAAGAACAAATTGTTCTGATAGCTGAACATACAGAAATTTTGATTTATGTGCAATGACTTCCGGTTTACCTGGACAATCAGGAAATTCATTATTCCTGCCTCTATTTCATATTCCTCCATTAGGAGCTTTTGGTTTTAAGCAAATCAGCCAGAGTTCATGAGTTCCTACACTATTTCAGATCCCACCACACAACCTCGGGCAGCTGTCGGTCTGGGGGAAATTCCTCCAGCCTTTGTCCAGACCCTCCCAGACAGAATGATAGGAGAATCACTCTCAGTGACTTCCGTGTTCTCCCAGGATGGTCTGTTGTTCTGAAGCTGAAGAGCTGCTATTAGCACTGTAATTTTTTCAAATGAACATTGAGCTAAATTATCTCAAATGTATAAAGGAACATCTCTCCCTGTGTTATGGAAAATTGCCTTCCAAATTACAAGACTATACAAAGCTCATATCAATTTTGGGCCCAAGGACATCCAAATTGCCTTAGCTCCTACACTGTATTGTGATGACACACTCTTAATAATGTCGGGTTCCAAGGATGCCGCAAGGCGCACACTGTTATGAAAATAAACCAGTATCTCGCTCCATTAGGATCACTGCACACAGACTCAAGCCCAGCAAGAGGTATTTTGCTCTGAGAGTCGAGCCTTTTGCAGAGGAAATAAATTCCAATTACACAGGCAGGGAAGTGAATTTGAATTCTAAACTGGGTCAAGCTCCCCAGATGGTGGTCTCACTGCTGCCCAGGGTGAGGCAACTGGGGAAGCAGCCATCAGCAGCCCCAGTGCCTACAGGAGACTGCTGACAGATGTCTCAGGAGGTAACTCCAGCTCCCACAGGCTCAATTCCTCACCAAGGTGAAGAGGGCAGCTGGGGCCGGGCGCCGGCTGATAGATAGATTTTGCCAAGTGCCAAAGCTTATAGTGAACACATGTCAACATGTGGTCTGACGGCCAGCAAGCCCTGGGAACTAGCCCTCAAACCTGGCCCCAGGGCAACCCAACTCATCTGCTCGTGGGCAGCCTACTACTTCAGGGCAATTCTAACTAGGATTTTCAAAGATAAAAATAAACATTTTCAAAAGTAAAAATGATTAGATTTTGCTTTGTTTGCTCCATCTGTTCTTGTTTTTCGTTTACTTTTTTTGAGGAAATATCACAGAGCAAATCCCAGACATAATGACACTTCATGCCCACGTGCTTCAGCACTCATCTAAAAAAGATGCTTGCTTTTCCCTGCGTAGTCACAATGCCATTACACACTGAACAAAATTAACAATAATTCCTTGTTATTGTCTGATGCTCAGTTCCAAATAAAATTTCCCACTGTCCCCAAAATATCTTTCTTTCTTTTGTTTTGTTTGTTCCGGCAGCAAAAATTTTGCAAAATTGAAAATAAGATTACAAGGTACCCCACCTGAAGGCTTGATAAATTGTAAAGGGCTATGGTGCCTCCCCAGCTTCCCTTTTTCCTTCTTCAAGGTGCAGGTGTCCCACTCCCCCTTCAGAGGCCGGCACCCCCGCCCCCACCCCAGTCATGCCAGGCCATGCAGCTGACAAGACACTGCAGCATGAACATACATCTGCCAGGGTGAACTGATGACCTCTGGCTGATTTACTTGGAAGCTGTCCCAAGGCTGGGAGGCAAGTGCTCTTTAACTGAGAAGAGATGCTACTTTAGGAGCGTGCTGCACCCGCAGCACGATGGTGGTGACTTAGCAATGGATGATGAATGCCTGACTAATTGAAAAGACTGGCTCAAGAAACAGGAAGTGAGTGGAAAGAGAACCCTTCATTTGCAGGGATGGCAGCTGCCCCCCTTGCAGAAGGTCCCATCTGTTCCCTAGTCCCATCCCTGATTCCCGGGGGCAGGTTCCTCACTTTCTCACCCATCCCCTGAGATGCCTTCACCAAAAAGACTTTAGAATTAAAATGCTCCTTATTCAGTTCTTCCACTGGATGAGGATTTCACTTTAAAGTACCTGATATTTGTGACATAAAATTAAAAGGCACAACAGTCTGTGAGAGAGAAGGGCTCTCCAAGGGTCTTCTTCCCAAATAAAAGGCTCTGTCTAGATGTTTTCTGAAAATGTCATTGTTGGCAATGTTGTGAGTTGGACACATCACTGATCATCTTTTTCTTTTTCATCAGATATAAATGGCTATTTGATTAAGATTGTTATTTGAAGCAGCAAAGAGCCTAAGATTATCTATCATTATGGTAAAAACTTTTCCACTTTAATTTCTCCTTAGTAAAAGTTCCGATCTCAGGACACAAAAAGAGATGGTGGCAGGCATGGAATCCCTGAAGCAGTGTGAACATTATGCTAGAACCAGAGCAGCTGTTCTCAGACTGCAGTCCCAAAACAGCACCAGCAGCATCAGTGGGAATGGACTACAAGTGCACGTTCTCGGTTCGAACTAGACCCAGGGGATGGAGAAGGGCGAGAGGGGAGAATTATATTTTAACAACTCCCCCCACAGAGGATTCTAATGCAGGCCAAAGTCTGAGACCTACAAGGACACAGAGGATGTCTGCTAATAACTCAGCCCTCCCTGCCTCCCCTTCAGTCAGCAAACCTGTTAGGAGGCCTCCCACATGCCAAGTACTCTGTCAGCTACTGGGGTTGCAGAGACACAGCCTCTCTGCACCCCACACCCACCCCAACCCCGCCACCCCGATACACAGAGCGAACAGGGAGAAGTGAGCACAGAAGCCAAGAGGGCGACATTAACTAGTGCTGTTGTTGCAACTGTTAGATTCCTGGCTCCTCCGCTTTGGTACCCAGTGACCTTGGGCAAGTTATT